GGAATTCTGATGAACAAACATGTTAAAAATAGAATTCTCAATTTACCGCTTTGTGGCAGTGCCTCCCATTTCCTACAGAAACACTATAAATTCTGAGGCTCTTTAAGTACATAGAGGAACATGACAAATTTGCAATTATTGAGTCAGGACTTGAGAGTGATGCTAAAATAGAGCTTAGCAGGAAATTTTTATTTTATTCAAGAAATTCTCAGTCACTTTTTTATGGTTATTAAATAGCCTGAAACTGTCAGCCATGTCTTTGCCAAAATAAACTACATTTCAAATGCCCTCAGAGCAAAAAGTCTCATAAGTGACAAGTCAGAAATAGATTGGGTAATAAGAAAAAGAAACCTGCAAGATGAATAAAAATGAAAAATGAGACAACATTAGCAGTTGTACTTAAGGAGAAGAAAGGAAGGACTAAAGCTGAGATATAAGGAAAAAATAATACAGGCAGGATATAAAATCACATACACAGATTGTTATTCACTTCGTTATTGAAGAGGAATATATTTCATAATGTTTATGCAAAATATGTTTGAATCTCCATGTACTTACAGTGCCATTTAATATCTTTAAGTTACGTTATCTTATTCTATGCACAGATAAATAAACATGTGGAAAGTGTAATTTTACTTATTAGGGCCTAATAGAATTAAGAAAATGAAAAATTAAGTCTTGTTTGAGTTGCTTTTCCATTTTGTCAGTTTGTTGGGTATGTGATTTGGGTTTATTTTTTTTCCTATTTAACACATTTCACAAACTAACTGAATCTTCTAATCCTTATTCATAATAGTATGATAACTCATCTATACTTACCCATACTTCATGCTAGTGATTAAAAAGAAATTTAAATATTAATTCTCTCCATATAAACATTACCTTCTTTTAAACAGATATGAGCTATATCATTCTGATGCTTCTGTTGATATTTGTTAGGAAGCCATATGTAAAATTTATAAACCTTAACAAATAAACTCTCTAGATGTGCTAGTATTTACAATAAATAATTTGATAAATAGTAGACACATGAGAAGTGCAAAGAGACTCATTAACAAGCTATGATACTTAAACAAAAAAAATTTGCTTGCTGGCAGTGAAGAGGAATTGAAACACTTATTGATGAAGACAAAAGACTGCAGCTTTCAGTATGGATTATATGTCAATATAATGAAAAATCATCACAATTGGACCAATATGGAAACAACTTAATAGTGAATGGAGGAAAAGAAAAATTCATTCTATTTAGATCTATAATCAAAGCCCATGAGAAGAGGAATAATGAAATCAAATAGATTGGATAAATTTGCTTCAAAAGATTTCTTAGAGGTATTAAAACTCAAAGACATTACCTTTCGTATTAATATGTACCTGATCCAAACCATGGTATTTTCAATAACCTCAAATACCTGCAAAACCTGTACAATGAATAAGGAATACCAAAAAAGAATTGATATATTTGAATTATGGTATTGGCAAAGAATATTGAATATACCATGGACTATAAGATTAAAAAAAAATCCATCTTGGATAAAGTACAGACAGAATGGTCCTTAAACCAAGACTAGCAAGGCCTTATCTCATACACTTTGAGTTTGTTTAAAAGAGATATTAGTTCCTACAGAAGACCAATGAAAAAGTAGAAGACCTGCAATAAGGTCTTCAATAATGTTACATTCAAACAGAGAAACAATTGTGAGGATGGTGTAAGACAAGAAAATGTAATGTCCAGTACATAAAGTTGCTGTGATTTGGAACTGCCTTGCTAGGACCTAACAATAATTTAAACTGTGCATGAAGACTTATAATACAGAGACCATATACTGCAAATTCAGTCAAAGCATCTACTTATTTAATTTGAATTAGGGAAAGATAATTATAATTCTTTTTTACTTGCAGATGAATGAGTTGTAAGAAAAATCAATACATTACTAACTTTATAACCGAATATAAATTTCAACCTGAGTTACTTGTTTAAAATAACTAATCAAGTACTTCTAATAGATAATCTGATTAGGACTGGAAGAAAAAGAAGATTATAGGGGATTATAAATGTCATGTTTTAAAGATAGTGTTGCCAAGTTTTAGTAATATCTTCCTACAGGGTTAACATATTGTTACCATTTTTCTGGAATGACTCAATTAATTCATGACCAACAAAATATGTTGTGTGTACATAATGGAAAGTCTCAATGAGTTATTTTAAGCAGATGTGTCAGATATGCTCATCTATTAAACTTCATGTATACAAAAATTTTTAAAAATTAAAAATAACATTTTTGTTTGCAATTTTGAAGACTAAATTATCTGAATAATTTTAGCTTTTATTTAAACTAGTTTGGCCTAAAAATTGTGATCACTCTTGTGAAAGTACTTAACTAAATTGGCCCACAGTTTCACTTTTTATTAGTAGTCTCCTTCAGTGAAACAAGAAATGACCACATTTGTTGAAATATGTAACCTTGGAATAGTGGATTTCTAAAACATGTTACTTTTCTTCTTCCATATGACTACACATGCAAGTACATAGGGCACTGATTGATGATAGTAAGTAACACATGACGTGAAGCATCAGAGTGTATTTACCATATAATGACTGAGGGAAAGTCATATTTATATGCTCCCAACAGTTAATAATTGTAAGTCTAGAATATCATAACTGTTCATCACATATGCAATATTTCTATGTCTATTCTCTTCTGTTTATCAGTACCCACATTCCTTCCATACACTGAGCAAAGATATACTCTTTCAATAGAAACAGTTGAGTTTGTGTGGAATAAAGTTAAGTAGACTTTTTGGTTCCTTGTTATTGGTTTGATGTACCATTAAGTAAAAATAAAGTAAAATAAAGATCTTTGCCTTTTGTAAGAACATGTTTTATGTATGATTGAAGTTTTTACAACACTCCAAAAAGCCATCCGATGTTAGATTTAAAAATAAAATCAAAAGCATTTTCTGACAGAGTACACATGAAAAAATTGGAAATCCCAATATCTTCAGTAGAAGTTGTAGAAAGTGTATGTCTCCTGGATATCGACACTCACTTAACACAGCAGAAAATAAGGTACTATACTGTAAACAAAAAGGTACAGTAAAGGACAGTTGTAAATTTACATAAGAATAGTTCATAAACATTTTGGTCTTCCCATAACAGTTTTTATATAAAATGAATAAAAAAAGCCTTTAGACATTTAGCTGTCATCATTCTTGTTTGACCATTTTTCACTTATATGCACACAGACATGTTTATATAGCAATATATTGATGCACCGTTACATGGATATTAAACTATGATTACTGTTTGTAACTGAGATGTGCATTATCCAATCAACATTATCCATAGTTGAAATACTCTTACATTATGTATTCTTGTCATGTCGTATCTATAAAAACATGAAAATATAACTTTACATTATTTCAGTTATTTACATTATTAGTTCAAGCTTGACAGAGAAAAATTTATAAGCTACAATTTTTAGAAGAGTAGGCCCAGAGGTACAATAAATAGCTTTGACTGTATATAGTCATTTTTTGTTTTGTTTTATTTTTTAAAATTTGTTTTAAGTACAACAATGAAACAATTAGTCTGCAATTTGGTCATTATAGCATTTTTTTATTAAAACTTATATTGCAGCTCCAACATCCTTGATGAGGAGAAATGCACTAAAATCATATTGATTTTTCTTGGGATTTATGTTCAGGGACAGTAAAATTTAGTGAAGAATTGTATGATACCATATGCCACCATCTTCCATGCAAGTGGTTGTTGTTAATCTCCACATTTCTCCTTTACTTTCGTAAATAGAATAGAGTGTTTTAACAGCACTTTGTAGAATACCAAGTGCTACATGAAAGACTATTTGCAGAAAAAAGCAAGAAAATACTGAGAATAACAACTGGATATCCATGTTTCCAGTCCTAAACTAATTTTATTTTAAAAGCCTCTAATAAAAACAAAAGGTCTTTTTTGGCAGAGCAAGATTATGTCTTTTAAATTTTTTAGCTAGGTAAACATAAATTTTTTGGTTAAAAGTTACACAGATGTGACACTTCCTTGAAACTGGGTATATTAAAATAATTATCGTACTTAAAGAATGAATATGAATATAACACATTAAAGTTGTGTTTCTTGACAGTGGCAATGGGAAATAACAGGATTGCAGGTGAGTTAAAAGTGTTTAAAACACTCATCATGTAGAAGCTTTGTGAATTTTTTATAATTAAAAAAGAAAAATAGATTTACTTTCATAAATTTTATATTGGGGTAACCATTTAAAAGGCTACTTATAAAGCATTTCTAATTTAATTTACAATTAAATACTTCTCTGCAAACTCAAACATTTTAAAATAGAACCTTCCATATTCCAGTATTTTTTAAAATATTGCCTATAATTTGTTAGAATATAGCTACATAGATAAGATGATTTTGATAATGAATATAACTTTCTATATACTAAGATTTATGCCCCAAACAGATTTAGACATTACATTGAGGCTAATTTATATTCGAAAAAAATCACCTGGCCTTGTTTGTTTGTTTGTTTCATCTGGCCTTTTTAAAGGGGCAATTTTCTCTGGGGACCTAACAACTTAATATCTTTAAATTCACTTGATGTATGACCAAACTGTAGCTAAGCAAATTAATTGGACCACTTGCAAATAAAACAATAGAAAATGTTTATTTCAAATGTCAAGCATTGCCAAGTAATTTTATATTAACACCAAATGTTAAAGAATAAGATACATTAAAGTTTTAATAACAGTATTAAATTACAAGATTTTAATCTTTTCTTTGCTTTCTTTCCTTAGCATTTACATATTTGGCTTTGAAAAATATGTAACAGATACCTAAAGCCTTTTTAAATCACTTTCCACTCAGTTTAACTGTTTTAATCTTAATCAACCAATATGGAAGCAAATTTATTTAAAAGCCAGTTTGTGAAAATACCTAAAAATATTTTTTTTTACTTTAAATGGTTTTTTGTTGTTGTTTTCTT